AGTTGTATGAGCCCCCAACAAAATGATTTAAAGAAAAAAGTTGCATGAGCCCCCAATAAAATGACTTTTTAAAAAATTGTCAGTATATCCCCCTATGATGCCTGCTGGACCTGATCTGGTTTCCAAATTTTTTTCATTTTTGGTTTGTATTGCTTTGTCTATTTGTTCTTTGTTGCTATTATTCCAATAGACTGTATCTCAGAGGTGTTATGTCAATGTAGGTCACCTTCTTGAAGTTGTGTTATAAGCTTTTCTGGTTTGAGGGATATGAAACCCAGCATGGATGAACCTAAAGGGACAGCAAGCAGAATAAGGGGTTTGGAGGAGGACGGGTCCAGTAGTGGTGATGGGGTAAAAGGAAGATGATGTCAAGGAGCCTAAGTAGAAAATGAATGTTTGGAAACTGATTGTGGTAGCAGTTATACAAATCTACTTGATGTGATTGAAATATGAAATGGTATGATATATGTATTAAATCCCAATTAATAAAAAATGATGTCAGGTGTTGTCTTGTACGTTTTGTCTAGTTTTTCACACATTTCTGCCTTGGGCACTGTCACTTTCCCAGGGTGAAGGACACCAATGACCGTTTGTTTTTGCTGGAGTTGTTGGTTGGCTCCTGGTCCAGGCAGTTACTGCGCCATTCATTATGTGGGAGGACACTTAAGCAGCCAGAGAGAAAATAAAATAAAATTTTATAGATTAAATTGTCAAAGTTCATTTTCTTCCTTCTACCAACCCATATTTCAACCACTCTCCATATATTTAACAACTTTTATGGATACCCAAAATCTATTTGATTAATCTCTCCTGAGGATATTTAGGTGGGTTATCAGCATCCTAGAACTATAAGGTCATGAAATACGTATATCTATATTACAGGTCCCTGGCAGTAGAGCACTGGGCTACAAAACCATGAGCATTTTATTCAGTTTGCTAGATTTTAATTAATTAATATGGCTTAAAAGTTCAAAGGATTAAACAGTGAAAAACCCCTTCCCTACACCCTTTCTCCCCAGCAAGCTGGTTTCCCTCATCAAAAGCAACCAGTGACATAATTCTAATGTATATTTCAGTCATACACAGGCTAAACTATTATACATATAAATATAAATGTATATAGATTCACACACATGCAAATACAAATGATACTGTGACAGAACTTTAAAAAGTGGTCCCCAATAAAATGATTTTTTTTTTAAAGTTGAAATTTGATAATTATTACAAATTGACATTTAGATATTGTACTTTTTATGCACCATCAGTAATGCTTGAGAGTATCTTTTTCTCCATTCCTCCATTAACACTGTATATTGTGAAAATTTAAATCTTTTAAAAGCTGATCGATAACAAAATTTTAATTTGCATTTATTTAATTTGAAATATCATCACGAGTGAAAATAATGCTTATAAACCATCTATAATTTTAAAAATTATTCGGTCGTTGATATCCTGAGCTCATGTTTCTCTTGTCTATTTTCCTATTGATCTGTAAGCTACTTGTAGAGTGAGTTAAGCAAGATGATTGGATATAAAATCAACATACGAAAATTGCTAATTCCCTGTATACCTTTAATAGCCAATTGAAAAATATTTTAAAAATAAGACAACATTCACAATAGCTTTGCACAGTCTAAAACCAGAGTGCTTGGAGGCTAGTGAAAACTTCAGATTCCTGAATTACCCACTCTTCTCCAAGACCTGCAAAATCCAGGATGGAGCCTTAGAAACTGCACTTTCAGAAGCTCCCCAGGTGATTTTTCTACACATTCAAATTTGAGAACCACTAATTTAGAGTTATGGAGTGGACATTGGGTCTGTTTGTCGTCAATGGCCTCAGCTAACAGAAGCTACAGGCTCATCACTGTTCCTCAATACTGGTAGGCCAGGCCTGTCTTCCTCTCCAGCCTTTTTCTACCACTCTCTCACTTCTACCACCTAGCTATCCTGAGCTAGTAACAATTCTGGGAAAGAAACCTAGTGCCACTCACTCACTCCTTTTCTCTCTGTGTTCTCTTTGAGTTCCTCGTAAACTTCCCTGACACCTTGAATCTGATGAGGTCAGAGAACAATTGTATCCTCCCTTTTTTGTTTCCTTCCATTACAGCAGTGTCTATTTCTATCTGCTTTCCTGCCTGTCACTTCACTGGATTTTTTTCTCATTTTAATTTTATTGTTTATCATTATTCTCTTCTTCAGTAAAGATGGAATAGAATGAAAACTCTGCAGCTGTCAATTTCAGACTAAGGTCACTGTAATGCAGATATTCTGTATGACTGATTGAAAAAGAGATTCACACTTTCCTATTGCAAGAATGTAATATATGAGGAAGTATGGTGACATTTCAAATCAGTTGTGAAAAGTAGATTATTTAAAAATTGTGTTAGATTAATTGGTTAATTATCATAATTAGAGAAAATCAGTTTATATCTTTATCTTAAAACATATTATGAATTTGGAGTTAATACATATATCATATCATTCCATATATATCCTTACCTTATTGTCAAATTATTTCAAGGTGGATATTCCAAACATAGTTAACTATAAAAAAAGCATTAACAAATGAGTGAATTTGAGTCTGAGTTGACCTCCGTCTGGACCTTTGCTCTTGGTAGGTGCCCTTCATCCACCTATCTCTCCAGTCTGACTCCCTGACGCAACTTGTTTTCCATTTTGCAGCCCTATTCCTGAGGGAGATCCTCTACCTTATCCTATGCCTTCTTCTTTAGCTTGGCCTCCTCTCTGAGTCAGTCATTTTACCAATTTGTGTCCACTTCTTAAGATATAGCCCAGGAAGTTTTTGGTATTTTGTGCCTCCATGGACGCGCTTATCGTCCTATGCCCCCAGCCCTACCCAGGCCCTCTTACAGAGTTAGGTAACCAACCCCAGTTAGTATTGTTTTCTGTAGGCAGGCCTAAACCTAAACTTATCTCCTTTGGCATCCAGGACCCTTCAACACCCAATTACCTTTTAATCCCCTTTATACCACTATGTCTCTGTTTCATGCCAGATCCCCTTCTGAATCTTGTGCCAGCCTCTCAAACCTGTGCTCCCTTTATAAGACAGGAATACTCCTACATCCAGGTCCCTTCCCCAGCCCGGCCCTCTTCCACAGCCTGAACCTGCGACCTTAACCAGGGCCCTTCTCTAGACTGTGCTCCATGTGATAGCCTACATTCTCTCCCACAGCCAGGTGCCCACCCCCAGGCTTTTCCCTTTAAAAGCCAAAAACACCTTTCTCATTCTTTGTCCCCTAACCTACCTAGGCCAGTTAACTTCCCTTCTCTAATCAGTCACCCTTTCCTATTATCTTCTTCCCAGCTGACTTTCTTTTCCCACCCTGTGACCCAGACTACAACCAGATTCCCTTGTCCAGCCATGTCCCCTACTTCTGTTCATATCTCCCTATTCAATTAAGCCCACTCCTCTAGCCTGTTCTCTCTTCCGCAAGATAGTCTTTCTTATCCTACCAGAGTCATTCCCCAAATATGTTCTCCCTGCTGGTGCCTTTGTCTACCTAATCCCACAGTCTCAGTAAGAGCATATTACCCAGCTGGTGTCACCCCTCACAGAAGGCCCACCCTCAGACTAAAAATCAGTTCCTGCCAGAGTCTCCCCACTCGATCCTCTCCCCACTATTTGGCTCCTTTTGCCAGGAAGGTTGCCTTTCCTAGTTTGTGCCTCCCTCCCTACTCAGTTAGGCACCTTTCCTTACACTGTGCAGCCCACCCGATTAGAACACAATTGCCATTAATAAAACTCTCCATTAGCCTTTGCCCATGTCCCCCGGTCAGGGTTCCATCATCAGCCGATGCCACAGACCTCATAAAGGTCCTCTCCTCTTTACCACTGAAACCCTATTCTTAAGCTAGACCCCCTACATCAACCTGTACCTCTCCTAAGCTATACCCCTTTCCCCAACCTGTTCTCCTGACATTCCCCATTCATCCTTAGGCTGGCCCGTTCCTCAACTTGCACCCTCCTTCCCACCCAGAGCTCCTTCTGCAGAGTACGCTTCCTTTCTTGGCCTATCCATTTTCCTGCCCGTGTCACTCCTGCAGCCTGTGTCTACTTGCTCCCCAAGCCTTACATCATTCCCTAGTTCTTCCATTGCTAGAAAAGACTTTTTCCTTACTGTGCATCCAAAATACCTGATTAGCTGAAACTTATGTGATACACACACTCACAATGCATTATCTGACAGAATTTCCATTCTTGCAATTTGGGAATACCCCAAAAGACAGAACAGTAGCATCCCCTCCCCCCTTTTGCTATGTAGTCCTATAGATTAGTGAGTTATTTGGGAGTGGGGGATCTTTTTTGTTTGCAGCAAGGAGAACATCCTTAGATGAAATTATAAAGTGCCGCTCTAAATTATCTTCTGTGAAACATTCCACCCTAAGCTGCCACCACAGCCATTCCTCCAAAAAGCCTTATCTTCGCCCCACCTCCTGCTCCCTAACCCTCCAGATTTCCCTGGCTGAAGTAGATCCCAAGATATGCTACAAACTATATGAATTAAGTCAACTACACAAAAATAAAGGAGCAGATACTTTAAAATTGCTTTTATTTTTAAGTAAAATGCTTATATATATATTTATTTTTAAGTTATATATTTTATTTTAGAATATTTGGAATGTACACAGAATATTTTAAAGGAATTTAAGTAACCTCATCGGAAACAGGATCTGAAGATAAAATCTAAAAAATGGTTTACTGCAAATCATTACATTTTACTGTTCTTTTGCAAATTTGAAATATCAACAAGTCTCACAGATAAACAGAGAATCCCTACTTTTGCCTTATACCAGTAGCAGATATAATAATATAACAAAATGAATCAACTACTTCAGTGCTTTTAAATTATTCTTTCAAATTAAAAAAAAATTCTTTCTCTAATGTTTAAGAAAAGAGTGTTTAGAACTTTCATACCAGTTGCAGATACATCAAAGTGGATTGACTACTTAAAAGACATTTTCCTGAGTGAATAAGCAAATGTGGTGAAGAAAGATGATGGTGCCTGGCTATCAAAATATATAGCACCTGGGCTCTTAAAAGCTTGAAGGTAAACAAGCGGCCATCGAGCTCAGAAGCAACAAAGCCCACATGGAAGAACATATCAACCTGTGTGATCACGAGGTGTCGAAGGGATCACTGAAGACAAATGGGTGCATAAGCAAATGTGGCGAAGACAGCTGATGGTGCCCGGCTATCAAAAAGTATAGCATCTAGGGTCTTAAAGGCTTGAAGGAATCAAGCGGCCATCAAGCTCAGAAGCAACAAAGCCCACATGGAAGAAGCACACCAGCCTATGCAATCACGAGGTGTCGAAGGGATCAGGTATAAGGCATCATCACAACAAAAAATCTTACCATAGTGAATGATGGGGGGAGTGAGGCGTGGAGACCCAAAGCTCATTAGTAGGCCACTGGAGATCCCCTTGCAGAGGGGTCTCGGGGAGGAGATGAGCCAGCCAGGGTGCGATGTAGCAACAATGAAAAATACAACTTTCCTCTAGTTCCTAAATGTTTCCTCCCCGCTCCCACTATCATGATACGAATTCTACCTTGCAAGTCTGGCTAGACTAGAGGATGTACACTGGTACAGATAGGAACTGGAAACACAGGGAAATCAGGGTGGATGATCCCTACAGGACAAGTGGTGTGAGTGGTGATACTGAGAGGGTAGAGGGAGAGTGGGTTGGAAACAGGGAACCGATTACAAGTAACTATATATCACCTCCTCCCTGGGGGATGGACAACAGAAAAGTGGGTGAAGGGAGACGTCGGACAGGGCAAGATATGACAAAATAACAATTGATAAATTATCAAGGGCTCATGCAGGAGGGGGAGCGGGGAGGGAGGGGCAAAATGAGGACCTAATGCCGGGGGCTTAAGTGGAGAGGAAATGTTTTGAGAATGAATGTACAAATGCGTGTTACACAATTGATGTATGTATGGATTGTGATAAGAGTTGTATGAGTTGCAATAAAATGATTAGAAAGAAAAATAAAGAAGAAAAAAAAAGCAAATAAAAAAAAACCATGAAGAACACCCCCCCCCCCAAAAAAAAAAAAGACATTTTCCTTCCTGTCTTTAAGGAAGAAAATGAAGTTCTGGCCTCTCACAACTTCTTGTAAACTTTATCTAGCCTATCAGTTTCACGAAATTTCCTTTCTATATTGTGCACTTAACTTAGCTTTTCCATTTAACAAATGGGACCAGACAAGTTTAGTGGGTTTTTTTAATGAATAAAAATACCAGTGAAGCTGTTGTTCACCACTAGAGAGATCTCCTGAGTAGCCCTGCTTATGTAAATAAAACAACAACAACAAAAAAATACCCTCTCCAAGAGCCAAATAGAAAACATCCACAAAGCATTTTAATCACATCCATTCCAACTTTCTTGAAGTAATCTGTTATATTCATAGAACAATCATAAACACAGAAAACTGATATTGTACACAATTTATTTTTCCACTTTCTAATGTGATCAAATCTGAATTTAGAATGTTTTACCCCAAAGTTCTGCGCAATATGGCAAATTCACGGGAAAGCAAAGATCATATATGGTTAGAACTTCTCGATCCCCCCCACCCTCCCCAACCCCCACTTCCAGCGTGTCCCCAACCTTCCACACGAGAGGTCAAAGAAGCCATTAAAGAACTGAAAAAGCAGATAAAATGAAGTAATTGGGAAACCTGAGAAATTTGAGGTAAACGAAGGGAGAAAAGAAAAAAAATCCCGCCTACTAAGGATATAGTGGTCGACATGGCTGCCGACAGTGCTAGGCCTAGAAGAGGTGCAGGGCAGCAGCCCTGAATTCGTTTATTGAGCCAACCTGGCCGATAACACAAGTGGGTTAATTGAAGAGTGGAGGGATAAATGGCTCAGTGAGTCTCACTTTTCTAGTTCTCAGGTCTCTTGCTTTCTTATGGTTGGACCAGGGTGTGGCTTCCTTAGCCAGTTCCTGGCTTCAGCTGGCAAGGCTCACTTCCTGCAAGACATCCACATGGACCTACCTAGATGCAGGCCTGGGTGCTGGAGCAGCCGTGTGGAGACCCCTGCCAGTGCTGAGATGCTTACCAGTTCACTGACTCGGCTTTCCTTCTGCAGTCGGCGTCATTGTGTGTGCTTTGTGAGGTGGAGGAGGACTTTGTGGATTGGTGTCGGACATATGGGTTAATGGGTTGATGTTGGACTTGTGGGCTTGGGCAGCACTGGGTTGGGATGTTTTCTTGATGTGCACTTACCCTTTATATAAAACTCTCTCTTCTACATGAGTTTCTGTGGATTTCTTTCTTTAAAGTACCCAGACCAACACAAGCCCCAATGGCGTTTGATTCCAGAGGCTTCACAGAGGTGTAACGCAAATAGATCAGGACCAGCGGCTTGTTGGTGTACTCCCCCGACCCCCATGACAACCATAGGAGAGTCCGCCTGAATCACCTTAATGGGGGTCTGCAGGACATGTGACATGTCCCTCAGTTACAGCAGGCCTCCCAGGTAGCTTCAAGCACCATGCGGTTGCAGTAGTTCAAGAAATCATAGCGGCTATAGGTGTAACCGGCTTTGGGGTTGCTGAAGAAGGGCAGGAAACCGTCCATGTGCTTCTGCGTACAGTCACCAGTGCGGCTTCTCAGGCTCTCCACGGTCACCAAGAACACCGGCTGGTCTTGGATTGCATGGTACATGCAGTGGCCATCTTCCGGGTTATCTTTCATCTCCAAATGTTTGGCCCCCAAGATGACTGAGAGCTTCTTCTCTTCATCCTAGCGATAGCTAACCAGATGCTCCATCTCAGCCTCGGAGAGCCACTCCTGGCATTCTCTCTCTAACGCTGCCTTTCTTTCATGTCTGTTTTTGTGACCTACAGAGGTGGGGTGGCTGGTTATCCAGATTCATCTTGGCAAAATCTTCAGTGACAGTTTCGAGGTAACCATTGTCAGAGTTTTTCCAGCTCCTGGCTGTGTTTCTGCTCCATCTTGGCCTCAAGGCGGGACACATCAATTGCTTTCTTTTCCTCTTGTCGCTCTTCGGGACCGGATTCTTCATGGCCTGGATGCGGCCCTGCAGCTCTTCTCACGGTGGTGACGCTGTAACATCCGCTGGTGTTCCCTCTGAGACTCTGCCATGTGTAGCGGCAGTCAGAAATCAAAATGTGGAGGCTACAGCTCAGGTTAACGGCTCAAGCCGCAAAGCAAGTTATGGTTCCTCAGCTTGCCCAAGCCTGTACCCTATTTAAGGGCCGCTCTGCCACTGGCTAGTCTCCCTTGACCATGCCCTTCGAACACACCCGGCGCTAGGATTGGCTGTTGGGAGGCCCTAAAAATACCCTTATTAGACCTCATAGCATCGGAGGCTTCTGGTGTTAAAGGGAGTTGGCGGGAATTCAAGTGCCACTTTTAATGGCCTACCTTTGTCCAACTTACAGAGCAATGGCAGTTGGCAGAATTTTTCCACTTGCCCTAGTGGCATAGTGGCTGTTGGGCTGATAACCACAAGATCAACAGTTCAAAACCATGATCCCCTCTTGGGGAGGAAGATGAGACTTGTTGTTCTCATGAACATGTAGAACCATGTAGGGTTGTTATGAGTGGGAATGACGTGTGGGTAGCAAGGCTTGAAGTTTTGTTCTTTGGCTTCTTCCAACCTCCATTTTCATGACTGGACACAAACACTCAAACACGTCTTACATGAAAAACAAACACAATGTGATTGAATCGATTATAATTCACAAGGGCCCTTTGAAGGGTTTCCGAGACTTTGTAAAGTTTCACGGGAACAGACAGCTCATCATTATCCTGAGAAGAGGTGGGAGTTTAAACTGCTGACTTTACAGGCTAGCGGTTACATGCTTGCTCCACACCACCACCAGGGCGCCTTCCTTGTATGAAAGCTACACAACAATTACTATCCTACAGCTGAATATGCTCTGAAACTGGATTTGGCACTATTCCTCTAGTATTCAGGAAACAATGTGGCTTTCTCTAGTTTTTCAGATCCTTTTCTGGGTAAACTCTGGATCTTTGAGTATCAGAACAAAGGTATTTCCGTACGTTCCTGGGAATAAAGAAATCTTTCCGTTTATGCCTCATATCCACCCTATTCGATCTCAGTGTAACAAGGCAACAGCCACCCTTCACAACTATGCAGACTTCTTAGTTTGTTCCCACAACACGTACCTACCTTAAATACTCCTTTGCCCCAGCTCCCAAAATGAGTTTCCTGGAATGTCCCATGAAGAACCACACCCAATATTCATCATGCCATTTCTTTCTGACTTTTTTTAGTCTTTAAAAGTTCTAGAAAACAAACAAAACCCCCAAAGATCCTTAAAATGTGACCTCATCTTGCCCCCACCATCTGAATCTTAAATCCCCAAAGAGAAAAGTCCTCTAAACCATCTCCCTACTTAAAAATGAACGAAATGTTTCCCCAAATATGTCAAACTGTCATTCTTTTTTTTATTGCCAAGGAATGTGTTGACTCACTGCCATCAAGGAACCCTAGTGGCATAGTGGCTATGAAGGATCAGCAGTTTGAAACCGCCAGCCACAGGCTTCTCTTCCACAGTACTGGTGGGTAAGTTTCAACCACCAACATTTAGGGTAGGAGTTAGAGGCCTATTTCCAAGTGTTTGGAGATTTTCCTGTTATCTTTCTGCTACTGATTTCCAGGTTGACATCTTTGCAGGCTGAGATCATGCTTCCTATGATTTCAAGTCCTTGAAATTTTAGGGGGATTTGTTTAGAGTCCAAGCTGTGATCAATTTTGATATATGTTCCATGAGCACATCAAAAAAGAAGGTGCATTCTGATGTCAGTGTTCTATAAATGTTGTTTCTGTTTGGGCCGGGTCAGAACTAGGCAGCCCCTGTTTGGACGAAGCTGAAGCAGGTCCGGGCCCTGCACGTGCTTCCCTGCATGACCCAAAGGTCAGCAGCAGATGCCTGTCTTCCTCCCTGTACCTCAGTTCCCCTACACAGTTTCCATTCCATTGGCTGCTGGTGGTGTTGAGTTCTATGTCCTCACTCCTTTTTCATTTAGTTCTCTTTATTATCGATAGAGGAATGAACTATTAAACTATAAATATGAATTTAAAAATTTCTCCTCATAGGCTTTGCTTCATTTGTTTTCCTTTTTCCAATCCGTTTACGTTCAAACTACCAATGCCATTACATTTGAAGTGAGTTTATTATACACAGCATATGCCAATGCCTTTTGTTTAATTTTTTGTTGTTGTTACTGTTTCTCTGTGTAGTTCCGTTTTGTTTTTCCTACCTTTCTATGGCTTACACAACATCTTTCTGGAATTCAATTTGTTAATCCATAATGTTTTTAATGCATCTATTTTTATACATTATTTTAGTGGTTTTTGTAGATATTACACGGACCCCTGGTGGCTAGCTGCAAAGTCAGCAATTGGAAACCACCGGCAACTCCATGGGAGAAAGATAAGGCTTTCTATTGTTAAGATTTACAACCTTGGAAAACAAAGGAACCGTTCTACTCTGTCCTGGAGGGTTACTATGAATCACAATCAACTTGATAGCAGTGGGTTTGCATATTTTTTTGTTTGCTAGATATTACATTATATAAACATAACTTACTACAGTCTACTAATATTTTTTGAGTTTGCATGAAATGAAACAAACGTATCTCCCTTTTCATCCCTTTACTTTTACCCATTTGCAATATAATTATCTTACATGCCTACATACATTTGGAACCCCACCAGACAATCTCATAATTTTAATTTTAATTGTCAAACATGATTTGAATGACTCAAGCTTGTTGTATTAATCCACATTTTTGTTCAGTGTGTTCCTTCTTGCTTTCTGGTGTTCCAGGATTTCTTCTTTTATCTTTTCATAGGGTTCTGTTTCAGGGTAGATCTCCTGGTGACAAATTCCTATGTTCGTTTAAATGTCATTTCCCTGAGAATGTCTTGATTTTCTGTTCATTCTTGAAGGATATTTTCTTTAAAAATTTTTAAGAAAATTTTTATTTTTATTGGGCACTCGTACACCAATTTGTTCATTTATTTCTATTTTAAACCATTTTATTAGGGGCTCATACAATTCTTATCACAATCCATACATCAATTGTGTAAAGCACATTTGTACATTCATTGCTCTCATCATTCTCAAAAGATTTGCTCGCCATT